ATTTTGCACCACTTCAGCACTACCTATTCTGAGTGGAAAATTCTTCACAATTAAAAATTATTGGGGAAAAACATACACAAATGTGTGAGAAACCTTGTCTTATTACAAGTACTGTATAAGAATCTCAAACTTGGAGTATCTTATTTTATCACTCCAAAAACCAGGCTTTCATATAAGATGGTGGATTGTTAAACTACAATATGAACAAGAAAGAGACTTCTGCAATCAACAGAGGAACAAATTCAAAAAATGTAAAATTGTAAACAAGAGGAGGAAAAGAAGGAAACTCTTTATAACCTTAGCCAACCGTAGCATAAATTATTCTCATACAACACATTTATTGATGTGAAAACAAGGGATCTAACAAATGTTCTCAGAATAAAAATTGAAATGGGAAGGATTGTGGCAAAAAACAATTATAACTTAGAAAAAATTCTTGGAACAAGAAAAGAAAAATCAGCACTGTTTGACATACTTGTCAGAACATTTTTGCAAAAGTACTCTGGCAGCATTTTGTTCTTCAATCAAAATATGAGGCACCCATCTTGCAGATTTTTTGGTGTACCCCAGGTTATCCCTGAGGAATTCTTGAAACTGATTGAAAATGACATATGGCATAAATTCAAAGGGTTGCCACAGTTCATTATTCGCCATTTAATTAATGATGCTGTTGATGAAAGTGACAGAATTACCTTGGAAGACTAGGAGGCAATTTATATCCAAAGAACTTTTGTTAGACCCCTTGTAAAAAGCCCTGGCATCAGCCACAACATACTCTATACCTGCCATTTAACAAATCCTGACTTTTTTTAATTAAAAACAGTAATATTTCACCTCGCATTGAAAGACATGCAATTATACTGATTCAGTACTTTGAGAATTGATGTACTCGTCAGTACAAGCACAAACAAATTCTGATAAATTGAGTCAACGTGAATACTCATAAAAATATCAAAAGGCTTTGAAAAAGAAATTCGCCGTCACTTGTTTCCCCATCACTGAACAATGATGCACTCATTCTTCAAATGTGATTTGAAAGAAAAGTGAAAGAAAATCAGATACTCGTGTATAAGAAATACAATTGGAGAACCCCGCTGCATTATTTTTCACCTCGAAGCTCCAAAGGTAAGACAAGAAAAATTACTGAACATTTCAAGAACCCGTCTTCATAGATCACAGGGTACTGAACATGATTTTTGCAAAAGTACTCATACTTGGCCTCTGAATTTCTCACACTAGAACCTGAAACAGCTTTTGAATGATTTTTTCCCCAACTCCGTGGTTCTTGAGACTTACGCCAATTCTTTTTTTTTTTAATTCACAGACTCGAAATTTTCTTTCTGTAAAAATAAATTGAGAAAAAGTAAATTAAAATTCGTGTGGAAATTCTTTAGTTCCTGGTCGTTAAACAAAGGAAGTAGTGGCACTTCAAGATTTTGTGATTTTCTAATTGAATTGACTTGGGCAAAATTTGGCTTTTTTTTATTGAGAAACACCGCTTTTAAACCAAGCTGCACGTTCCTCAAAGGAGGCAAAGTACAGTATTTTTCGTTTTTTGAGAAGAAAATTAATTGTCCCTGTCCGTCTTTGTGTGTCTGACTGCAAAATTTAATTGCGCTTCATTTTGACGAGACACCCAAACATGCGAGAAGAGAGAAAATAAAATACAGTAGTTTTCCAGGCTATAATTATCAATAAACTTCAAATCTCAGTTCTCTGACTTGGTCCCGAATATTTGGGTAAAATTTCCAAACTGAACTGGCTATAAGAATCTTCGCCAAAGCTTAAAGTAGCTGAATTTCATGTATTGCACTTGGGCGGGAAAAATGCTAAGATAACTTTTAGGGTCGTGGTTTTTTGTGTTCCCCAAATAAGACCACATAAAACATTTTGATCGTTTTGAAGTTACGAAGCAAATTCAGCATGTCATGGCTCATGAAAGAATTGTAACGAAAAATGGAAGCAAGACCAGTCATGCACATTTTTATCCCTTGCATTAAGAGTAAAATTTTTGTTTAAGGAAATATTGAAGGGAGGTACCCAACCAAAAGCTTTTGACCACCTTTCTGAATTGTTGATGATCTGAAGTGCACATTCATTGGATCAACAAGGTAAACTGTACACTTACAGTAAAGTATATGTGATTCTTTATAAGTCAGCAAGTGATGATGCTTCAAGATAAAAAAAAATACTGATGACCCCCATAGGTGAAGAATCCCTTTACATACTTAACTAACAGGAACATGTTTACTTAGCCTGTTGCTGGCCTGCTGGTGAAAAGTGCAGCTTACCATAAACAGTTGCAAGAATACAGTGATGCCTTGCCTAACAGCAACAATTCATTCCTGCACATTGGTTGTTAGGTGAAATGATCTTAATGCAGATCAAGTTTTCCCTGCCAAAGGATTAATGTAAAACCCATTACTGTAATTGGTTCTTGAGAAACAAAATTCTGGCAGAAAAATGAAAAAAATTGCCAAAATTGTCAAATAGCAAAGCACAGATCCGTGAAAACACTGCTATAGTTCACTCAAACGCTTTGCCTAATTGAATTGCCATGCTCTCTCTCAAAAACAACCCTCAAAACTAATAGCAAATGTACTTCATGCATATGCAACATCTATGAGCAAAGCAGGAGTCAACCCTCCTTTATAAGTTTGCATAGATGTCACTTTTGCATGAGGTACATGAAGCATGTTTAGACCTAGAAAATCACCAATTCCAATTTCCTTCAATTCTTCTCACTTTCCCTCAACAGAATTGCTTGAGAAGCAACCATCTTTGTTGAGGGGAAGAAATAACAGCATTCACATTTTTTTTATTCTAAATTTAATAGTCAAAGGGAAGGCCAGAAAACATTTGCTGGGCAGGTCGGTGGTCATGAGGCAAGCCATTTTAAAAAGGTTTTAATTGGTCATCAGGCAGGTTGGTTTTTAGGCAAGGCACCACTGCACCATCATCTGGCTTTATGTAATACCTGAGCTTTTGCTCAAAATGTGGCTTTTTGCTAGGGGAAGGAGACTTTTTGCCAGGGGGCTTTTGGGTGACATTCCTCAAAGGAATGTTAAAAATTAAAACAGAGTAATCAATCTTGGGTCTTGACCCTGGCATTGTTGAAGTACATTTAACCTTGAAAAAATGTTTTTGGGGTCATGTTGGAAAAATTTATGTTCTTCAAATAAATTTTTTTAAATTTTAGGTCAAAGAACCTAGTTTTTATTTTATTGCTCAAAAGGGGAGTGGCAGTGAGTAAAAAAAGGGAATTTTTATTTCCTAATGCAAAGTTGGACTTTTTTGGTTGGGGTTGACTTTATTTTTACCCAAGGTCATGCAAGCTCTACCGAGTGGGGAAGGGCAAAGTCAGATTTTATCCAGGTATATATGAGAAATCCTGAGTGAGTCCTAAGTTGGACTTCTTCTGTGGTGAACTGATAATGATCTTTAAGCCTTAAACCTGGTATCTTTCAAGCTTGAATTTAATCTTTGAATGGGGGAACAACCCAAGGCCAGGGAAAAAAGAGTGAGCCTTGAGAATTTAATTTTTTCATTTCTGAGTAAAATATTGCTGTTGAAAAAAATCAGAATTTTTCCTTACTTTGCCCTGCATACATGGTCATGGAGTTATTAAAATGTTAGTCTTGAGTGCACCCAAAATCTGCAAACAATTCTGACTTAGCCACAGAAGGGTTAAGACCCAGACTATCAAAAATTAAAATTTCTAGGATTTCTTCTTTCTTTCCCCAACAAAAATGCTTGTTTTTTATACTCTGAACCTCCTGAACTCAGCTTTTTGTGATCCCTCTAGAAGTTTGACTTGAGTAGGTGCAACTGTGATTAGTTCAATGTTTTATATTATTGCTGTATCAACAGTCAATTGACCTTACTTTGAGTTGGATACCCTTCCAGTATGCTCTGCTACTGCTGCTGTCTAACTAAAAATATTTCTTCATACTAAATTTTATCCTTTAAATTTATATGTTGTCACCATCCAAAACAGGGTCAATGCCAAATTCCCTCTTAAAACTTGCATACATTTCTCTGAATATTTTCTATTTTTCCCCCTAAACACTTGTTCCCATCTTAACCAAGTTATACAGCCAAACCTCTCTAAGTCAAACTTCAAGGGCCCAGCAAAAAAATTTGACTTACCCAGGTTTTGAATTGAGCTAAAATACAAAGCCCTTTTGTCCTGGGAAACACAAAAACTGCTCAATATTGTAAATTATGATGTATTCTGAGGCTGAAATTACTTCGTAACCCTTGTGCAGCAAATTTGGGATATTTTTTCACATTTTTGTGCCAATGGGCAATGGGAATGAAAAAAACCTACTTTTGCATGAATGCCTGAGTCAGAAAAAAGTCCAAGGTTTTTTCTAATCCTGCAGAAAATTTTCAGTGAAAATTTTAAAAATCCCTCACGGGGTGGTGTTTTTTCCCTGCATTCCTGGCATAGGATTTGCATGGGAAAATCTTGAAAACAATTGAAAATTTGCCTCCAGGATTTTTCCCAACTTAGGCATCCTCAACCTGGGCAAATTTTAGTAACCTTGGGTCAAAATGAAATGCGCTGCCCCCCAGAAAAATCCCAACTCTGCCACGCACTGAGAAAGAACCCTCTGCTGTCTGAGGGTTATTAAATGAGTTGAAAGCATCCTGAACTTGAAGGCAGGGTTCATTTGCCCAATTAAGTCTCTCAGCACCGCCTTTTAAAACAAATCAATTTATGTTTTCATTGCTTTTTTTTTCCTTTCTTGTGTCAAGAAAATAATATTCTATAGGTCACATAAAATTTGACTCATGGAGGTCTGAGGGAAAAAGCCGTCAACTTAGGGAGGTTTTAAATGCATGGTTTCTAAGGGTTGATTCAGACAGGACCTGAAAAGAAAAAATTCGACTTGGAGAGGTTTTGAACTTGGGGAGGTTTGAGTTATGGAGGTTCACCTCCAATGGGCAGAAAAGTACTTGACACTTCACTGTGGTTTTCCGACATGTTCACACACATCAGAGACGAGACCAGCACCGCAGTATCCCGAATGTGGCCCATCAGCGCTTGAGTGGGGTACACGGCCCACCACTCACGGGTTTCACGCCCACCGGCCCCTATTTGTACATGCCGTACCAGCGCGTGGTGCCGACGTCAGCGGACCTCGATTACCAGATCGTGGTACCACGGAGGACCACGTCCACGTTCCTCAACGACCTGGACGAGGACGAGAGGCCACGAATGGACGTGAGTCACGCCATATCAGTTTTATTCGCAAAACGACAGTACGGTAATACATGTATTATTGTATCTTAATATTTGAGCTGTGTCATATTTGAAGCACAAACGAATTAACACTCGACGATGCCAAAAGGTTTGGAAAATGGTCGATATACGATATAGACGGATCTTTGGTACAATGACGATCATTTTTACTTTCAAGAGTAAATCAGTGAAATCCTTCAGAAGAAAGAGAAATATATTATGTATAATATATGCTACAGTATATTATTCCTAATATATATATATATTATAGTTTCCACGCTTTCATTGGCCACAATGCAGAAAAATTAATTGCTCAATTCCAATACTGGCTTTGGCTTCATTATCTTTATTTCTGCTCAACTTGAATTCAATAACTTCACAAACTTGAATTCAATTATTCACAATACGTCATAGAAGAAGTAATGTATTCCATAGAAACATTATCTCAGATTCTGTAGTTTTTCCTTCACTTCAAGACATTGAAATGTTTTCTGTTTCTGTTTCTGAAGAGGTTTACATTAGGAAAAAAATGAGGAATACAGTAATATTTTATGTGGATGGCAGCAGGAATGTTTAGAAGTAACTGTACTGTACAGTGAATTATTTAATTTATGATGGATGATCATTCTGCAATGGATAATTATTTATAAATTTCTTTTGTACTGTACTTCTGAAGTTTTCAAGCTGTGATTCTTCAATACACCTGGGAATAAAGGAAACTGTCAAAATATTCCCAAGAAAAAGATTTGTCTAAATTCTCTTTGTTCAAGTTCAACTGTAATTCAGTAAATACTGCATGCACTCTACTTCATAGAAGAAGGAATCCATCCCATGGAAGCACTTTCAACAATGCCGGAAAATTTTCATAACTTTGTGACATCAAAACCTTTCTGTTTCTGGAATGAAACAGAAAGTGAAACATGAAATTACCATCAGGAAAAAGGATTTTGTCAGTGGATGACAAAAAAATATTTACCCAGTGAACACAAAGGTGTCTGTTTTTGCAATGAACTTCTCCAAAAGTAATCAGTTTTTGTCCTATACTCCTCCAAATGAATACAAAAGCTTTTGCCTGAGTTGAACATGTGGGGACATTTTTTTTCTCAAAGGAAATTTGGATGAAATTTGGAAATCAGTTGGAGAAGTTTGGATGAAACTCAGACAACCTTTGGAGAAGTTTGTATTAATGTATTCTTCAGCTTTGTAGTAAATTTGGACCACTTAGTATAATTTTGAAGGGAATTCAGAAAGGATTTGTAGGGAATTTGAATAAGTTTTGAAAATAATTTAGAAAATGAAAAATAATTTCATGTACAGTACTGATATCACCTGAGTCAATTATTCATTTCATTACAGATATACACACAGGAACACAGACACGCACTTAGACAGACTGAAACATGCATTTAAAATTTCCAGGCACTATGGGGATTTGATCTTATAAACAGGAGTACACAATCCTAACCAGCATTAAGTCAAACAGCCACAACAATGACATTCATGTGGTGTGGCTGTACATAAACATACAGCCATGCTACAATAAACCCTATGACTTGGTTATATTGGTTACAGTTAGATTTGTTGTTGCATGTCATGGCTGTACAATTGCGCTGCCATACCATGCAAAAACTCATACAAAATCTGCACAATTTATCATGCACAAACTTTTGCCACATCATGCAAAAATTTGTGCGAAATCAATTGTGCAAATTTTGCACCATTTACAAACTTGTAATTGTACATGCAAAAATCCTTAATTTGGATGTGTGCAGACTGTATTTGGATTACTTTATTGGGACACATTTGGACTATTTTTGGACAACTTAATTACTTTTTATTGATTTATATTAATTTTTATTTGATTTGGAGGAAAAACAGACAACTTTGTGTTCCCTGTGTAGAATTAAATGATTCATTTTATGAGGATGTGCATGTTTTACTTTTCAATCATTGTCTGGTTTTCACAATAATGAAGATTTTAATATTTTGTTTTTTTAATGCTAATCCAAGCATTTTGTCTGTTTGTTTTGCTTTGCCAAGAACTGAATGAATCAGGAACTCATGTCACCTCTGAATGCAAGACTCATTATAGCTTTTCCAGCAATTTTTAAAGGAGTACAAAATTTTTTAAACATGTTTAATGGATGCCATAGTAAAATAGTGTACAGTATAATGAGATGTGCAGTACTTTTTTCTCCTTTTTCGAAAATTTGTTCATCTCCGTATCTTTTCTCTTTTTGTTTCCTTGGTCTGTTTGTTGCTGGGTTCATCCTGAAGCTGATAGAAGAGCAAATAGCCAGGATGAAGCGAGATGCAAATTCTTTGAAGGACCAGATGTCGGGCTACAAACCCAAGACTGTCCCTTCGCACAAGATCACACCGGATGAGGCTTCCAAGACGGATTTCCTGTCCAATGCCTTTGCATTCTATTATGAGTGAGTCACTGATGTACTTATATACTACTTTAAAAGAGGAAATTGCACTTTTTCATATGCTGTGGGGGCTCCTGTTCTGGGCCCATTACCCAGAGGTCCATGGATTGAAACCACTCTCTGCTACCCATTTTTATTGGGGACAGATGTCAACTCAATTTAAGTTAGTGTTCAAGCTGAATCAGAAGAGTAAAGGAACATAAATAAAAGATGGGAATGCACCCAAGAAAGGGGCTGGAATTTCTTTATGGAATTCCTGGGTTTAAAGATTAAGTAAGTGTATTTCACACAGGTTAAGAACTACTTATACTGTACTTTGCAAACTCTTGATTCAACTAATAGATTGAACTGCAATAATTCTGTACCTTCTTTTTTTCTCTTGATTGACTATCTGAACATGTAATAATTACCCTTCATTAGTTTTTACCATTTGTTTTCAAGGGAGAGGATGAAACTCTAGCAAATTTGGAGGAAGTAAATCAATGCTGGGATGCTTGCCTAACACCCAGCATACAGATAATTTGGACACCAAAAAATTGTCATCAATATACTTGTCTCAAGATGCAGTTATTTCAGAAACATTTAAGAAAACTGTATTTTTTGAAATTTTGATGTCTCACAAAAATTGAGTTCTGGATATCAAGAAAAATTGAAAATACACCTTCTTATAAACGCTTACTTATTCCCTAATCAAAAAGAGACTAATTTTGCCATTCTCTACTTTTGTGTTTTCCCCCATAGAGCGTGTATTTTAAATCAAATGCTTGTCTTATTTAAAACAAATCTGTCTTTTGTGCAGAAATTAAGGGTGCAGGCTGTGTGTATTTTTTGTCTGCACACACATTTTCTTTAGCTTACAGTCAACAGAAATATTGAAATCAAAGTTTTATAGGACGTTGTCAATTTTTTTTAAAACTAGAGAAGCAGAGTAATTAAAGCTCTCCCCTATTGAAGTCTGAAGGAAAATTTGATCCAGCATGCAGAGGTTGTCAGGGACCACAAGAGGTCACCTGACTCCCAAAGCTCCAAAACATCCGCAGGCACACTCAAAATCACACTCACCTGAATGACCATGAAAACAGGAACATAAAGAAAATCTCACATCAGCAAAACTGGAGAAAAACTCAACTTTGCTTTGGGATCTTGAAGTGTGCAACGTTGTAGAATTTCTGAAAGCAAAACAAACCTCAAATTATTAAAATTTTACTTGTGCAAATACACTGTTGGAGGAGACTGAGTACTTGCTGCAAATGACCTATTGTACTTCTCTTTGTATTGCGAATTGTGCATAAAGTTTCTTTGTCAGAACCCAAGGGTTCCCTGACAGGTTTCAGCAGGGACACATCAGAGAACACAGGGTATCTGCACCTCTCTTGAAGGAACAACTGCATTTATAGTTATCCCTTTATAATTTGAAATTTCATGAGATAGAAACCTTTTCAATTCTAACTTTTGTTTCTTCCCTTCCAAGTTTTGCAAAGGTATCAACATATAGCCCCCCTGTAACTTACTTTTTCCATTACGCCTTGGACAGCAGCAGCCTCCTTTTCATCCTAGGGCAAAGTCAGACTTTTTCTCCTTGGGCCTGCATAACATTTTTGCACAAGGTTATGCAACCCCTGCCAGATGGGGAAGGGCAAAGTTGGATTTTATACTGGGAGAAAAAAATGCTGGGAAATTCCCAAGTTGGACTTTTTCCACATTGACCTTCAACCTGGACTCCTGGCTTTCAAGCTTAAAGTTAATCTTTGAATTGGGGAACAACACAAGGCCAGGGGAAAAAAGGATGCCTTGAAGATTTAATTTTTTTCATTTCCAAGTGAAATTTTTCTTTAGGAAATCTTGATTGACTAGCAAAAAAATTTCAGGATTTTTCCTAACTTTACCCTGCATACACTGTCATGGTTTTTTTGAATGCCATTCTTGAGTGCACCCAAAATTTACAAAAAAAAGTCAGACTTCGCTGCAGAAGGGTTAAATCTGTTGTTGACTTATTTGGCAAATGTACCCTTGCCTTTAACCCTTGGATGGAGTTAGGTCAAATTCCACCCTGCAGTGTTGCTGGGACATATAGTTTTTTCATGGGACCTGCTTCAGCCACTTTTCCAAGGTTTTTATGCTGTTACTTCACTTTACAGAGCTGCACAACTTGACCATTTTGCAATTCAACCATGAATTATTGTTGAATTTTGGGGTATCACCTGTGCTCAAAAGAGATTAATTTTTAGCAAAAAAATACAGTATATGGGTTCAGGTTTATGGGGAACATACAAGAAGAAATCATGAAAAATGTCTACCTTTTCTGGATGATTTTTATTTCATTTTTCACAAATGATCTCAAAATGATCATCCATGCTTACTTTTTTCCCCCTATGATACGATTCATTCTAATGGATTTCATTGATAAAATGGTGAACACTTTCAAATTTATAATGAAAATGTTCCTTATCTTCATAAAAAGCGTAATTTTTCGATTCTTATTTCTGTAAAATTTGGAGAGCACACTGATGAGAATGCTTAAAATATTTTTGTTTCAAGAATCCC